CACAATGTCTTTAAGGAGCTGCAACCATTATACCATGTTCTACATGACATCTTAAGTAATCAATAGTTAATTAATCATAATAAACTAAATTTAAAAAAAAAAGCTTTGTCCTCTATCAGCCGGCATGGTGAAATAGGAGCACGGACTTACAGTCTCGTGGGAACAACACGCAAATACATACCTAGTCGAAATAACTAACTAATATAAAACATAATAAAAATTTCGAACCAAAGACGCATTGGAGTTATTGATGAGACATTCTAGAAGACATAATTGTTCACGAGGATGACGTTAGATCGTTAATTTTGAAATCAAAAATAACTTATTCTGAACGACCTCTATGCGGAGGCAATAACTATTTCTCTGTTTGTGATTCATGTTTCAAACGCCGAATTTGTGTATTTACATTAAACTAATATTAAACGCACAATTATATTTTTTAGAATATTTAGCACCAGTTTGCGGTATTTATTGAATTATTAAAAATTAAAAAAAAACACTTTACGGTAACCGTTTTAATATACAATATTTATAACTAGTGGATACAGAAATTTGAGGTCAAGAAATCGATTTTTAATACTCTGTTCCGCTATATTTCCCGAGATTTATTGATTCTAATTTTGAAAGATTTTCCAAACCGATTTGATTTATTTTATATACATAGTTTTTTTAAGAGTTTTCTTTTCCTTTCCTCAATTTAATTTATAGGTTGCACTTATTACTATAAGCCCATTACCAAATCTACTAAGAGTCTTAATGCTATAATGCATGAGTTTGCAAATTGCGAAGCATTGTAATAACGTAAACGAGATTAGGCAGCCTTAACCGTAAATGGAACCTCAATATTTTGAGCTAAGTTTGATTATCCAACGCTAGCATCAATCAATAATGATGTTCTTTGTGTCGACAAGAACCGTACCCATTTTTCAATTTTGTTTGTTTAAGTTGGCACCCATGTTGGCAACATCACGATTTTTTCTTTTAATGTATAAATTAATATAAGGTTAACTAATTAAGATTCTAAAGTATTTAATAAATATTATTTATACGTTGAGACACACGCGACAAAGCATATCTCTATGATATAAAATCCTGATTTATTGTTATCAGTATCCTGCAGTTAGTCGTATTAAACGATAAAATAATACCCCTTTCACTTGGCATTCGCTCAACCGGTTTGAGCTATTTTAATAATTATGGAATTCTAAATATACCGATTTTTTCAGCAGCGAATGTATTGATGGTGGGACAATTTTCAATTCAACTCACGACTCATTGTGTAACTTAAAAGAAATTGTACTCTTGAACATTTATCTCAATTCTGTGTAAATTCCCCTTTCTTGTAATCCACATACAATCTTTATCTAATACTTACCTGTCCCGGCTTCACGCGATAGGATTTTTTGTCTTTTTTTATAATCCGAGATAATGTAGCGATCTAATGGTGAAATAATTTTTGTATCGGTCCAGTAGTAGCTTATTAGTAGCGAACAAAATTACAAATCTTTCATCTATTTAGTATAGGTAGAAGAACTAGAGCAATAATCTCGTTCTAAATCTGTTGCTAAAAATAAAAAACCGAGCATAATTGCCTCCACGGATTTAGAATTTTACTCAAAATTCCCTAATTGATTCGCATGTTGTCCAAAGTCAACCAATCTGATATTTTGATAACGTCATAGTACCGAAGTGAGAAATTCCTTTTATCACTGAACATCCGTTATGCATTTGAGGTCGCAACTTTATTTATAGTATTGATCTACATTATACGGTATAGGGACAGCTAAAAATATTTTTAAAATTAGTATTAGTTGGTACTCAGTTTAAGATTTAAGAGATGTACGAATGTATGTATGTTTTAAGCAGTGTTGTACCCGAGGTGCTTTGTACCAATGGAATTTTTCTTTCTATGCGCTTTTTAAAAACACGTAGTGAAGGAAAACATCGTGAGGAAACCGGCATGCCTCAGATCCAAAGTCGATGGCGTGTGGCAGGCTGATCGCCGACTTGTCTATCAGAGAAAACTAATTATCACGAAACTGATATAGAAATCTGAGGCCATCGAGGGTCGTAGAGTCATTTGTTGTTTTTTCTTTCGAGAGAGGATGTTTAAGGGAAGAATTAAATCAAATTTAAGCGTAAGACAAGACATCCGGGTATTAAATCTTATGACCATTTGAGGATAATTTGAGTACCTAAGGTAAACACTTAAGCTTGTTTCTGAGTAACACTCAAATGGTGACAAAACGTTTTGCCTATAGAAAGAAAACTTTTCATCATTAGAGATTTATTGCCTGATTCACAAATACTTATCTGTCTCTTTCCATCACAGAGTATAGACAATTTGATAGATAAAGTTTAAAGAAGAACGAAAGCACAGTAAAAAGAGAGAAATGTAATTTATATAAAATGATTTTAATCTTTAATGTTATATTGTTAAATTATGATTATGTGAATACATTACTATTTTCTCACGTTATGTGATTGCGCAATGTTACACTTCATTGATCTTCGAGGTTGTTATTAATAGAAGAATATTACAAAACATTTTTATATGTTTTTTTTTATACTTTCCACTAAATTCATATTTACTAGCGTAGACAATGTAAATAATATATTGGGATAATTATTTATATAATAACTAGCTGACCCGGCAAACTTTGTTTTGCCATGTATATTATTTCTAGGAAACAATTTATTAGTTCAATAAAAATAACTATCTACTATATTAAAAATAGGGGTTAACCGTAGAGGGGGGGAAAAATTAAGGGTTGTATGTATTTTTGTATGCTGTATCATAAAAAAATAAAAACAAAAGAAAAGGTCTAAAAGATAAAAACAAATTTTTTGGGGTGGACACCCCTTATCATATTGGGGTTTGAAAGATAGATAGTAGCCGATTCTTAGACTTACTGATATGCATAAAAAATTGTCATAAGAATCGGTCTAGCCGTTTCGGAGGAGTCTGGGAACGAACATTGTGACACGAGAATTTTATATACATATATAGATTTGGGTGGTTGAACAAATTTTTCATACGTTTTAGTACTTGATTAAAAATTAACCGTTTCTTAGGCACATACTCCACAGTGCACACAATGCTTCCTTTAATTAGACATACAACTTTGAACCTCAGATGCAGCGATCTTTTTAATTAACCTGCAATTAGAGAGAATTTAATGAACGTCTAAGTTCGGCGGTTCATACATGAGTACAAAGAATGAAAAATCTACCTCTATATTAGAGATTAGAGAATTATTACACCATATTTCGCTGTCTATTAATGAAGTTAATAAAGTCGTCATGGAAAAGACATATTAAAAACGTCAACGTTTAGTGAAGTAGCAATAAATTAATTAAAATGTAAATTTACATAATATCGGTAGTTGACTATGTATTGTCTTTTTTAATTTATACTAATATATTGGTTTTTCTTTATGTGGAATCATTGCTCACGGGGAAGGAAAACATTAGAAACCCATATTCCATAGTATTACTTATCTCGTTTCTGAATACCAAAAAAAAAGTTTTGTCTCCCAATGACAGAGAGGGTAGACAGATTGAAGAAGTATTAACGGTTTTAAACTGATTTAACTTTTGTATATTTTATGCTCTGTGTGGAAATCGCAGCTGATAGTACCTAAGGCCATTCGACATATACATTATGATCACAGAAATATGAGCACCCATTAAAGGAAACGCGACTTTGTAAATTTCTCCAGTTACTCCAGATTCCTGTGGGATAGATACAATGTCACCTTGAGAGAACGATCCATCTATATGTTCAGTCGTCAGCTGGCGTCGTTCCAATGCGATGTAGGTCGGATGATTCTACACGTTTTTCAACCGATCTTACAGTTTTATGAAAATATATTTACAGTGAAGATTTTTAACAAATTACCAATAAAGATTAAAAATAAATGTTAATATCTTTGGCCTAAACTTAGTACAACCATTAAATTATCGCTAATATAGAGATAATAAATAGTGGAATGGTGGTGGATTTAAAAAAGCTTTATGCTTTAGACTGCTTGTTGTTAGCTGTTACTTAAACCGTAGATAAAAATGTAGGTCTATAATAGGTAAGTTAAGACGTTTTTGAGGTCTAAGGCATGCCGAATTCTTTAATTTTTCTTCACTATACGAGCGAGTATTAAATACAAACATAGACAGAAAGTCTATTGGAGCAAGGCTGAGGTAAGAACATCCGTACTCAGGGATGGGAGTCGCACACTAAAGTCACTTGGCCGACACTGCTCCAAACACAGCTCCTATACCAGATCAATCGTTAAATAATAAAAATTGATTAACATACTGTACTCGTAATTATTACGTAACGATTAAAACTTTACGGTAATCTCATTTTTTTTTTATTTTTATGTTTTATAAATTAATAAAAATATTTACATGAAAAATCTTAGTTTTACGCGTAACCATTTGACGTAGATCAATGCACAAAATAAGTTTAATGCATCAAAAGATGTTTGTTTACCTTATTAATTTTCAATCAAAAAATACATAAAAAGGAAAATATTATTTTTTGAAACTATTTTTGACAAAAAAAAATTGTCAACGTTAAAGCATGCCATCTACCGAAATTGTCATGTAGCACTTCAACAGTAAAAGTCATAGTATTAATCAGAGCTTTTAAAAAACCACTAAGAATTTCCTCCGTCCAAGAGATGTCGTTCTACAAAAAAATCTTAAAATATCTTCACTATTTTACAATCTATTAACTATGCCCTCGTCAATCGAATGTAACCATTATCAGCTGTTTAAGTAAGCTAAACATTTACATTAACATATCGCATACTAAATGCATATACTCATAACATTTTTGACTTAGCAAATCAAACATCAATCAATATTGAAAAGTCATCCATAGTTGATCAAGATGTATCCGGGCGTTGTGAGTTATTCCCAGCACGAGGTGCGCGGGGTGGCGGGATTGGGAACGCACAGACGTAGCGATCAGTGTATCGGCGCGCGCCGCCGCCGCTATGGGCAACCAACACTCCACCTCGCACGCAGGCCTCAAACCCAAGAAAAACGTCCACTGGAAGACAGCAGGTAAACATACCAACTACCCCACACTGACACCCACGCTAGCACGTCACACGTGCACGACACATGCCGACCCAGCCTATACATCTATTTTTAAAACCGCTCACTGTGGTCTCAAGCGTGCCACAACAAAACAAATCTTGAGACGTTTCGTGTTCGAGTAACTATAATCACATGTCTAATTTTGCAGAAAGGGTAATGCCAAATCACAGCTTGATTAGAGTGATGTAATCGACGTCAATTATTAGGTACTTATTGGTATATATGCGCTATATTGGCAATTACTCATTATATGCAAATGATTTTCAGGGCGACCGGCCATACCGGGAAAACCAGATGTGATACCAATACCATCAGATGAAGAGCCAAATGCTATAACACTTCGGTGGCGTCCGCCGGTTCACGATGGTGGCGCGCCGCTACGGGGCTATCAGGTCGAATGTAATCGACTCGGTTCAGCGGACTGGGTGCGAACTTCTCCTCCCGTTGTTCTACGACCAGAATTGGTACTATCCGGTCTAGAACCACCGCATCGATATCAATTTCGCGTAGCCGCTGTTAATGGAGTCGGCCGCTCAGATTTTAGCGAATTATCTGACGTACTTACCGTCAGTTCTGACCGAATTCAAAACGAACCACCCTTGTTCCTCCAACAGTTAGAAGATATAATAGCATTAGAAAACGATAAAACAGAGTTTCGCGTGTCTTTCGTCGGCATTCCCATTCCAACGATAGCTTGGTTTAAAGATGATTACGAAATATTTAGCAGTAGACGAACTGCTATATCTACAACAGAGTCCACCAGTGTTCTGATTTTTCATCAAACTCTCCCTAGTGATGAAGGTGAAATTAAATGTACAGCTACAAACCGCTTAGGTCATACGGTCACCAAAGCACGACTAACTTTGGAAGCGGCCCCTAAATTACGATATCCGCGTCAGTATGAAGATGGACTTCTTTACGAAATTAATGAAACAGTGTATTTGAAAACAACAATTGTAGGAAAGCCTTCCCCTAGCGTAGAATGGCGACATGATGGCCAGCCAATAGTTCCCGATAAGCGTGTAGAAATTACGAATACCCCAAAGTTTTCAATGTTAAAAATTCATTCTGCAAGACGCGGTGATCGAGGTGAATATCAAGTGCATGCAAAGAATAGTATAGGTGAGGACACGGCCGCATTTTTAGTGACAATCACTGCACCTCCAGACCCTCCGCAACGGGTTACTGTTACACGACAAGTTGATAAGTCCGTGACCTTAGACTGGGAGCCCCCGGAAGACGACGGCGGTTGTCGTATAGGTAATTACGTGGTGGAGTATTTCCGAACTGGATGGAACGTTTGGTTAAAAGCAACAACAAGTCGTAAAACAAACGTAACCCTATTTGATTTAATCGAAGGAAGTGAATATAAATTTAGAGTAAAAGCAGAAAGTCCATATGGCATGAGTGCACCGAGTGTTGAATCTGCACCAATCCGAATACCGGGTAGACCCGTGGATATGGAATTCTTAGAAGTAGAATCGAAAATAATTACCGACGTACTTATGCGTGAAACTGGTGATGAAGTCCCTGTTTCTCCAGCGCCACGGCGAAAGCGCGGTCTTGTAGCCTCGTCGCCTTCGAAACCAACAGAATTAGAAAATTCGCCTTCTTCTGCAGCGTCACCTGTACCACGTCGTAGGCCTCGCAGTTCTACTCGCGGTCAGTCGGAAAGCAATGAATTTATGCTGGTCCTTTACCCAAATACTGACAAGTCAGCGGAAAAAGCTGGTAAGTGTAATTGTTGAATCACGCTTTGCGATATAACTAACAGAACATCTAATCTTTTCGCCAAGCAACAAGTCTAATAAAATTACAATATTATATAATGTGTTTATGTATAATGTATCTAATAAAATGAAATAAGTGAAATATCTTACGATAGCCGCATTGCGAATGAAATTATGAAATAGTAGTAGTAATTATGATATTCGAATTATCTAGTTTAAGAAAAGCTCAAGAGAATATACTTTTATTTAAACAGGGAACATATATATATATTTATGTGAACCTGTACCATAACCAAAAGAAGCAGGATAGGGAAACGATAAAAAATATTTCCGTCTGTTCAAATATTTATTTAGTACAATATGTTGAGGCGGGTAATATTATTTTTATGACAAAAATGATGCGACCAATCATGAATGATACGCGAATGTATAAGTTATTGGTGGGATTTTGTTTTTATATGTCTGCAAAAGTACTTAATATTTAATAGATTTCGCAACAGATACATTAGGAACCACAGTTCAGTTGAATACACTTTTTTTGTTACGGCCGGATGTTCTGAGTTCGAGTCCAAGAGGAGATAAAATTAAAATCAATAAGGAAGCCATTTAACAATGAACGATTGCAATCAATCAAAATTGTTTATGTACCGATTGCTAGAAGCAATTTTTTTTTTCAGTTACTATGCGTCTATTTTATTAAAACAATGGATTTTTTTTTAAATTTAAGACCCTTGAGGGGTTGTTATAGCGCCATTGGATTATTAATCATATTGTACCTAGCACCATAAGACAAACATATTTTAACAAACAATCGAAACGTTTTTATTTCCCCGTTTTATCTCTAATCATATATTTTTTTTAATAGACGCAACTTGTCTATAGTCGCTAACTTTTCGGGATTAAGACTTAACCCACAATAATTAACCTCTAAATAACAGTTAATAACTAAGCGACTGCGTAAAGTATTCCATTATGGAGGCAATAAAATATAGGAATATGTTGTAAAAATATGATGATTATATCACGATATTTCAGTATATACTGCATTATGATCTAATTTGCTTTCAGCGATAGTATAGATGAATAATACATATAAAAGGTGTACTATACTGTCACATCAAATTATAAAACAATTATTTTTTTTAATTTTCAGAAAAAAGAAAATCTTTTCAACTCGACCTGGAAGACGCTATATCACCGCCGCCTATTTCGTTATCTGCCCCCGAACTAAGCACTCGCTGTGTAATGCCATTCAAATCATTAAGAAACGCGGTGAGTTCCACAGAACTTCTACACGAACAAGCTATGGCGCGATTTTATAAAGCTGTGGCAATGAAAGAAGAGCAAAATAAACAGAAAGACAGTAAAATTCACGTTTCAACTGCAGCAGCTCCCAAAGTTAAAGATACTACCGACACAATAAATGAACAAAGTACGGTAGTTAAATTAAAAACGCCAAACATATTCATACAAACTGACTCTATAGAAAATAAACATTATAAATTTGAGTCGGAAGACAGACAAGTATCTCAAGACTCAAACGATAAATGGCAACAGATGTCATTTGAGGAAGACTATACGGCTAGCACCGTTTCAACAGGTGAAGAATATTCAGATGAAGATGCTGAAAGCCTCATCGAAGACATAGACAGACAAAGTCATTATTCAAATGACGAAGAAACATATAATCCTAGAGATAAAATTGCACACCAGTTCTCTCTCGAGCAATCTATGGAAGAAGTTGAATACGAGTCGACGGAAGAATTTGTTAAACCGTTACCCCTTCCTGATCCAAATTTTGTTCCGAAACCTATACTTAAACACAGACAGGAAGTTTTGCCAAATAGTGACAAAACTGCGCCAAAATCTAAGCAAAAAGTGAACGAAAAAGAAAAATCTAAAAAAGAAGACAAAATGACGCTCTTTAAAAAAATCACTAAAATGCCTGTGCAGAAGCCGTTTGGTTTGCCAAAAATATTAAATAGAAGGGAAACTGACAAAATAAAAAATAACATTACAACAGAGCAAAACAAAGCTCCGACTGCGATTGAAAAAGTTGATAACAAATTAGATGATGAAGGGAAAACAGTTATTGACTATTACGGAAACATCGTGAAAGAGTATGGAAGTCATAAGAGACCGCAGACTCCTCTTTTACTTAACACTGAGGACCTAAAGCAAGAAGCTGAAAAGCAAATGAACGATTTAAAGAAAGAAAGAATTGTGGAACAACCAACTACTACGTCATCGACTAAAGTAGTCACAAGAAATAACATTAAAGGAAAGAAGAAACCGGCTATTAAAAAAATACAAGAAAACCCCAATCAAAATATAGGACCACAACAAAAACCGAGGCAAGGACAAAATACTTCAGTTTTAGTAAAACAGCAAAAAATAGCACCAACTGAAAAAGATAACATAAAAAATGTAGATAATGCTAAAGTTATATTAAGAACAACGGAACGGGCCACTATCGTTATACCAATTGACTATCAAAAACTTGAACAAAAAGCAAAGAGAAATGTTAGGTCAGTCATTGACTACACTGTTGATTTGTGTTTATTAATATTAGCTTTTTGGGTATATTTCTTTAAAGATGAACGCCTTGCCATTCCCTTACTGATTCTTATTATTTATAGACAGTTACAAGAGACTGTGCTTTTTGATATCCCTCAAATGGTAAGCCGTTACTGTCCTAGCTGGCTTATGAAAAAGGCTTCTTGACCTTCTAAAAAAGACAATATGTGCCTCGTTTTTTACAGACTTTCAACGTCGTGTGATATTTTAATTTAATTATCTGTTGTACTTATGTTTTGTATTTTTATTATAATCTAGTATGCCATGAATAATTTTTAAATCAACACTACTAAATTTTTTTGTGTTTTTTAAAATAAATATGTTAAGGTTTCCATACAGTAAATATTGCATCCGACGAATATCAGAATTTCGGAATCATCCCACAGACTGTGCCTATATTAAGCCTAGAAAACTATTTGATCCTAAAGTTTGTGCTGTACGAGACAAGGGGCTTGTTCTTGGTGTTTATTATAATGAAAACGTTCAAGGAGAAGCAGCTATATTAACAGCAAGTGCTCAAAAATATGATAGTGAAACAAAGGGAAAATTATGGAAACAACTTAAATTAACACCGATACCGAGATTAGGTGATTATAGAATATTCTATGACTTAGATCCAGTTTATGCTTATGTTGCTGTAGCTGGATTAGGAACTGAATGTTTAGCATTTAATAACATTGAAAACCTAGATGAAAGAAAAGAAGCAATTCGAGTGGCCGCGGGGGTTGGTTCTAATGCTCTTTTACAGTTTAAGCCATCACAAATTCACGTAGAGTCGTTTGGAAACGCCGAAGCAGCAGCAGAAGGTTCTAATCTAGCAGTGTGGAAGTTTCAAGAATATAAATCGCCTAAACATCAACAAGTTGTACCTAAATGTAATGTAGAATTATTTGACGACTGTGACTTATTTGGTTGGAATGTTGGAAAAGTAAAAGCGGAATCACAAAATTTAGCTAGGTACCTTCAAGAGATGCCACCTAATATATTAACGCCAACATCATTTGCTAAATTAGCTGTGGATTTATTATGCGAATTAGATATTAATGTAGATGTAAAAACAAAAGGTTGGGCTGCAAGTCACGAAATGGGTGGGTTTGTTGCTATAGGCAAGTCTTCCATTCAACCTCCACTATACGTTGAAATCAGTTACTATGGCGCCCATGAGTGCAGTCGGCCAATAGTTTTGATTGGAAAAGGAGTTACCTTTGATAGCGGAAGCCTAGATCTAAAGCCTCGAAAAGATTTACAATTTATGAAAGGAGATATGGCTGGAGCTGCCTGTGTTCTTGCAATTACAAGAGCAGCTGCGTTGTTAAAGTTACCTATCAATATTCGAGGGATTTTGCCGTTGTGTGAATTAATGCCTAATGGAAAAAGTCCAAAATTTGGCGATGTAGTATATTGTGCGAACGGAAAATCAATTCATATACGACTTCCATCTCGAGAAGGTCGTCTATTAGTTGCAGATAGTCTGGTATACGCCAGAAATTACTGGCCTAAATTTGTTATAGATATCGGTACTATGTCAAAAGAGTTGGTGTACACATTGGGAGGAGCTGCGTGCGGTTGCTATTCAAACTCAGAAGAGCTTTACAAGTATATTGAGAACGCAAGTAGTCAAACAGGAGATAGAATTTGGCGTATGCCTCTATGGAAATTTTATGAAGAACGTATAAAGGACTGCGACATGGCAGATGTAGCCAACACAGCTCGGCACATCTATGGTGATTCACCTAATTGTGCTGCGTTCTTAAAACAATTTATTTGCGATGGCAAATGGGTACATTTAGACACATACAATGTGGCCTTTACTAAAGGTTATGACTTTCCCTATCTTAACCGAGGCATGACCGGACGTCCGACTCGCACTGTCATAGAGCTCATTTATCAAATGTTGTCCGATTCTAAGTTATAATTACAAAACTTTTGTATGCACGTCATTAAAATGTTATTGTTAATGAATAAATCCGAACATTTAAAATCTTCGTTTGATTTTTTGTTTAAGAATAACACACTGATAAAATGTTATTAAATTTTATTAATACAAAAACAACATGGCACAAATAGACTTACATTATAATAAATCTATATTTTTCGAATAATATATTTGTACTTAAATTACAAAATTAAAATTAGATATAATATGTAAACTAAATTTCTAAACACAATTGAAATTTATAAAAATATAAAGCCTTCAAAAATAATCAATCTTATTATATATGGCCATAACTATAGTTCAATAAAAAATATAGCTAAATTATAATATTTAACATATATTGTTAACTATTATCTAATATAGAGATTCTCTAATAGAATATAAAATCTTTGGTAATTTTTGCAAGATATGTGAGAATGCAGCGGATAACATAACTTATCAATAAAAATAGCAAAAGCATTTTTTTATACTACATATATCGAAATATGAAACGATGTGGGGAATTTAAGTAATTCCATTCACTGTTATGGCTAAATATGGCAATATAAAATAGATAGTTACAGGTCTGTCCTTTCAGCCTTAGGGTCCACTATGTTGGAGTCTTCCGTGTCACTTATATAGCCATCTTCTCCAGTATAGCGTGTTGGATGTACCAGTAGTGGTGCCGCAGATAGTGCTTTTAGATCACGTACCGGGAAATGCTCTACCCATCGAGTCCTAAAACAATAATTATAACGAACTATTCCCATAGACAATATTTGAATCTAACATTTTATTAAATTCCGAGAATAGCCAATTTTTTAACCACCTTCGTGAATTAGATATAAACTATAGTATTATCGGATTAAAATATATAAATATTTTTTTTTTATTCTACTAAGGTAACAAAAACGAGTTCCCGGTACATCCTTTACACGAAGTCATTTACAAAGATTAATATTGGAAGGCTGAAAAGTCTTGATATATAGATTATTGTATGTTTATAACGTATGTATGTTATTTTATACAACATGGGGCAAACGGGCAGGAAGCTCAAGTTACGTTGCCGCCGCCCATAGAGACACACTAACAGAAGGAAGAAAGAAGGCAAATGCGTTGCCGGAGAAGAATTGTGCCGATTTTGGAACGTCGAGGTGATAAGGATGGAATTACGTATTCTTCCTCGACGTCCGATGATGAAACACCAAGCGTAGTTTAGCATTCTCTGTTATTGTATAAAATAAGAGAGTAGAACTTATAAATAGCTGGTCGGTCTTCAAATTTTATTCTATATTTAGGGGGTGGCTAATGGTCTGACTGTTCCTAATGAATTAGCTTTTATTATTGGTTTAAAAATCACCGTAACTAGCATTAGGTGCAGGTTAAAGAAGTTAAAAGAAAAGACTTACGTAGGATGTTGGTCAAACATGATTGGCAAATATTCATCAACCGGCAATAATTTGGATAATGGATCTGCTGCCAGTAATTTCTTTGCCCCACTTTCCCGCAATACATAACCCAGTGTCCAATACGAATACTGGGGTTTTACTGTATGTTCTGTTATGTAGGGTTCTTCATTATCAAGAAGTATCTTGCGCCCTATGTACCTACAATATTCAAGTGTTATTTTAACCATATTCAAAAAGAGGAGCTTTAATAGACATTCTTGGTATATTGTGATGATGCTTCGAAATAACTCCAAAATATTGCAAATCTTGTGTTTGTGCACATTTCTCAGATCAAATCATATTCTTATATTATGATAGCCAAATCAATCAAAATCTGTTAAACAGTTTTTTAGATACCCATACATTCCTGAACATATTAATTTGCAGTAATTGGTTTAATTGTTCTAAAACTTTTTAAGTTAAAGATTAGCAATAATTATTAAAGTAATTAGAATACTTACAAAAGATCCCAATCAATGTGTCTTATTTCTTGTAACAGACTAACAAATTTTTCTTTAAAATATGGCACAAAATGTATATCGTCTTCTAGTATAAGTGTTGTATCGTAGTGATTCTCAACAATCTAAAAAGTTAAATTACTATTATTATCACTCATTCAACTTCGTTTCGCCTTAATATGATTTTTTACTTATCCTACCTTTTTGGTATCTAGCTACCAACATATGAAACATTGATAGCCTTATAGTAAGTAGCATTCACAATTACAGAAAAAGAAAACTGGTTTTTAGGTTTTTCAGTGCAATTTTTCTCTTCATAAAAACTATTCTTACACATCAAGGAATAAATAAACAAAATTGCTCGAATTTGTCCAACCGTCTTCGGGTTTTGCGCTTAGCAACATATTTTTCGATTCAATTTTATTCCCACTTAGATAAGTTGGATAAATTATGTAATTGATATAATTTTGTAAAATTGTCATATAAACTATTGTCATGTAATTATAATCGTTTAGATTTTTTCTTAAATATATTGGTTGTGAAAATTTAAAAAACTTTTTTGACATAATTCACCACTTACCACCAATTCTGGTGGCGCATGCGCAAGGAGCTCATCCCTAAGGGTCGTAGGTTCGAACCCCGGTTGGGCATTAATGGATTTTTTTAGCATTTAACACTCGCTTGTACGTCGAATTGATTATGAGAAAACTGGCATTGTCTTTCTAGTCTGTCTAGAGCAAAAGAGTTTACGGCGTGTGTCAGGCACACAAGGCAGATCAACTATTTGCCATATATTTTTAAGAAAAAAATCAGCACGAAACAGATACAAAAACCTGAGGCCAAGATTATAGCACCAGTAAACCAGATCTGATGGCTTCTATGGCCATAAAGCTCGGCCAGTTACTCCCGTTAAATGCCTAATTATACAAATTCAACACATTTATACAATTAAAAAAAAGATAACTCACCCTTTTCCAAATAAAGTAATGACTTAAAAAGCAGCCTATTTCTCCCGCTTTCATTGGCCTGTAATATCAAATTTTAATTGTTACAACACTTTTTGTATGAATACCCACATTAGTTATAAAGGCAATTAAAATATAATTTACCTTTTGTGGTATGGATCTTCATAGTTAGGTAAAAGCTTTATATTATACTTCTGGATTATGTCTTCTTTGGTTAAGCTCCTGTATTAAGTGAAAATATATTTAATTAATGTTTGTGGTTCAACAACAAAACTCATGACAGCCTTTTGAACATAATACTAATAGGTTATACATACATACATACATACATACATAGAAGTTCTCCAGTTTAAATCCGGGTTAGGTTAGGTACAAAAATAAACATACTTGAGATAATTCTTTCAGATTTTCAAAATAGCAAGCATGTTTAAATGACATGAGTGGTAAGTAGTATTATCTTTAACTAAAGTAATAAGGGAAATAATATTTATTCCTAAGGAAATACATGGTTAATAGCTTTTCCTTAACCTATTATAAAATTTGAAATTATGTACATAGCAAGAAAAAAAAATGGTGTGTGGTTCTAATGCATGATTTGAGAAAACAAATGAACAGTATATTACTTACTTCCCATCAATGGCCTTGAACCATGTGCTAACTATACCAAGTTCTACAAAACTAGCATTCATGAGGTCTCGTCTTTTTTTCCTTCTTTCTAGATTTATCATGAAGATCTCTGTACAGTTCAATTTAGTTGTTTCTGGATAGTGCACATATTTTGCTAGACTTTTATCAAGTGGCAAATGTATTTCATTACCAAGAGCTTCCATTTTGACATTTAACATTTCATCCTTATCGTCTTCATCATTATCTTTCTCCAACGGAACTGGCACAAAGCCATAGATATGATCGTTACATATATGCATTAGGATCCCTGTAAAAGTTATTAATTCAATAATTATTATTTAAAACATGTGTTTTGGTCATTTTAATTTACTATCTTAATATACATATATCAACATTCATTGATTTGATGTACTGTTTCCAATTTGTAATGACTAGGACATAAAGTAAACTATGATTATAAACTAAAATATTATTGTTTGATTTTATAGAAATATTTCTAAACATATGTTACAGTGTAAGTGATAATATATTTATGAACTATACCATTTTTACTTGCTCCAACAGCAAATGCAATTATATCATCTTCTGGGCCATCATAACCTTTTATTTTTTCTGGCATATAAGTCAGCAAGTCAGAATCTTTGAATTTCAAATTAATTAAAACAGCTGAGTGAACCATAGGAACTTTGAAACATCCAATTTCCTTACGTTTCAAAATTGGCCTGTATTTATCGGTTCTTTTATAATAATGGAATTCATCCATACCACACCTGCAATGAAAACACAATATAATCACTAGTTAGTTGGTTAATTATAAACTATTTATGAACAAAACTCAATAATAAAAATTAAAAGGTTGGTACATAAATATTAATAAAAAAAAGGTGTGGTGAGTTTCTGAAGCTATGTAACTTCCCATAAACTCAAAAGGCACATATTTCAGAGTCTGTTTAATTGATTAATTACTAAGGAAAGCAGCTAATCTTCATCCATTGCCTCTCAAGCTATACCATTGTTCCGGGAGGACTTCTGGACAATATACCATGAGTGTTAACTGTTAACCATTATGGCATAATCAAGTGCAGAAGGCAAAAAAATCTTACCAAAAATTTGAGTAAGCTCCATCTGATATAAGCATAGGAGCTGTGATAGCTAAATCTTTGTTTACAAGAAATTTTAATGTTAATGGTTCCGTCAATAGAACATCTGCATCCAGCATCTGAAAGATTAATTTTAGCAAATATAGCAAATTTTCTTGTCTGATATACTTCCTGTAATTTATTTATTAAAACATTCATAGAGTTGCATGGGTTAATCAATATTTAACAGACACACTGAGCGATTGTAAAGAACAAAACTTCTGCTATGATGTGTTGTGCACAAAATATCATAGCTTTGAAACAAACTCTAAGAAAAGCCTTACATAACAAATAAATTCTACTACATTTACTTACAAATAAAAAGTCAGCCCACAAATTCCTAGCAAAATTAAGAGCTTTTTCTCTCAATTGTATTACATGTTGATATCTCAATGCACTCCAATGAGTTATTGTTTCTTGATCAGGAAGTAATAAAGCTGTGGTTGTATTAGTAGAAACATGTATTTCATGATATTCAGAAGAATGAGCACTTATCCAGTCCTTGAGGATATTATCACTGTTATCCGAATTATAGTCACTATAGAACCTGCAATAAAAATTTAATAAGTGGAGATAACCACTTTATAAACTTAAATGTTTTATTAGAAATTTACCATATTATAATTCTATCTTTAGGATAATCAATTTCTTGTAAACTTGATAAGAAATAGGGCAAAGCATTTTCTTTGTTGCGAACAAGACTTGTAATAACAATAGTAGGCCATTTTTCGCTGGGTTTTAGGTACTGAACAGCTCCATTGCAAATCGTTATTATATTTAAAATAACAGTAATATATAACACAATTTTAACAATACGTGTAAACATTTTAAATATATGAAAAAAGAGTCTTAAGCCGTCTCTCCTTGTTTTTAAATTTAACCAAAAAATAAATTCATAAATTTAAACGGTTCACTTCACTTCACTTCCCTTTTTTTATAATGGCGACATCTGTGTAAATCACAATTCCGCCAATGTCACGTTCTAAGTCTTCACACAGTGAGGATAGATTTGATAATTTTGATACATTGAATTTTATCTAAGCAGAGTTACCCAAAACAAAAATGACATCACAATAAATACAACACACACAGACATCTAATAATATATACAAGAGGTTAACATTTTACTACAAGGTATGAAGGGGAGAATCTTATTTATAACTTTAATTTATTAACAGAAATAAATTTCCCTAATATTTTGACGATCGAGCTGGATGGGAGGGAAAGTAGGGAGTTAAGGTTACATGGACGAGGGAAATCTGGAGAAAGATGGTCAAATAACGAGTCATTAATTAAAGAACAGTTAAAAAATATATGGTCTGTCGAGCCCTCGTCCATACCACACTCACAGAGAGAACTGTCTTTAATTTTAATTTTGGCTAGATGAACGGGAGTACAAGCGTGCCCTATACGAAGACGGCAGATTATAGACGTGACCTTTTTGTTTAAAAACTTATATTTAAAAAACCACGGCGAAGAAGGGATTGAATACTGAATATTAGCATAGTGCCTGCCAGTTTTTTCTTTAGAAGATTGCCAATCAATAGTCCAGGATTTTAAAAGGTGGGAGTACGCAAGAGCTGATAGGTCGTGGGCCGAGATGTTGGGATGCTGACAAGATCCGCAGAAAATAGCACCTTTTGCACAAGAGTCAGCAGTTTCATTACCCGCTATACCACAATGACTAGGTATCCACAAAAGTACAATATGAATATCTTTTTTACTACACCTAAACAAAGCTGCTCTTATTTTTAGAATCTTATTATGTGTTTTTTTTAGACCTGAATGGATTGGAAAGAATTGCCTGTAAACAGCTGCGAGAATCGGAAAAAATTGTAACTTTATTTAGGTTGTGGGACTCAGCATACAAAACCGCTTCTAGGATTGCAAAAGCTTCACCTGAAAAAACGGAGGTCAATGAAGGAAGTTTAAAGCTCAATACTGTTTTGAATGAAGGGACCCATACAGCCGCACCGATGCACTCATTATTGGGAATCTTGGAAGCATCAGTATACATCGGTAACCAACCCTGCCAGTCTTTTGAAATTTTTTCCAGAAAAAAAGTGGAAGCTTGGGTGGATTTTTTTTCAATTCCAAAGTTTAAAATTATTTTAGGATCAAAAATGAGGGATTCATAACTATTTAAAAACAAGGGATTACCAGGGAAACTTTCAACAGGATTAGGAAGACGAGAAAGTTTATTAAAACTGTGTAACAGGCATGGAACATTACCTGTACTAGATGGCATAGTGAGATTAGATAAGCGACGTAATTTGGACAAGATGGAATGTGAAGAGTATTGAAGGACTTTGATGAAGAAGCGGTCACTTAAAAATTGTCTACGTAAATACAGGGGGGGGTCAACACATTCTATTTGGAGAGCATTGATGGGAGAGGATTTCATAGCACCAAGGATGATGCGTAAAGATTTCGATTGAATTTTGGAAATTTTATCAAGGGCTTGCTTGTTGCCAGGATCTAAAAGGAAGGTGCCATAATCAAAATGACTTGGTACCACAGCATTGTATAAAAGCTTTTGCGAGTAGGGGTGTGCTCCCCACCTCACACCAGATAATGAACGGAGAACATTAACACCCTTCTCACTTTTTTTTAATCACATGGTTAAAATGAGGAACACCGTTTAACTTTGAGTCTAAAATAAGGCCTAAAAATTTTACTTGCTTACAACACGATACCAAGGACCCTTTAAATGAAATGTTACACCGTGGAACCTTGTATTTTGTAGTAAACGTGACCGCGGAACATTTGGGCACAGAAATAGAGAGACCATGATCATTTAACCAATCACCCAAATAATCCAAAGCCGAATTTAGGCGTGATGATGCCTCTTCAATAGAATTTGATGAAAAGTATAAGGCTACATCGTCCGCGTATTGAAGAATCTGACAGAAGGAATTCACAACAAGCTCCAGGTCATAGGTGTAAATGTTGTACAGAAGAGGACTCAAAACAGAACCTTGAGGTAAGCCCCTCCAAATAGATCTAGGAGACAGCTCCGTATTTTGAGATCTTATAATAATATAACGATTCGAAACTGCATTGCAAACAAAACGTACCAACTTCTCAGGAATACTCAGCTGAAGCATTTTTTGCCTGAGCACCGGAACCAGCACGTGGTCATACGCAGATGCGATATCCAAGAAAACACCCACCAGGAACTGTTTCTTTTTTAAAAGCAATGCGAATGTCGGTCGTTATTATACTTAGGCTATCCATCGTACTTAAGCCTTTCCTGAAACCAAACTGGGATTTTGCAAAGATATTGTTACTTTCACAAAACCATTCTAAACGAATTTTAATCAAATGTTCCATGATTTTTAAAAGGGTAGAAGACAAAGCAATAGGTCTGTATGAAGAGAAATCTGATGGATCTTTGCCAGGTTTTAGAAGCGGAAGGACGATTTGTCTGTTCCACGATTCAGGAATAATTCCAAGATCGAAAAAACAGTTTACTAAATCTAGAAAGTACCTCTTAGTGCCAAATGAAGAATTTATGAGGAATGAGTAAGGGATTCCATCTTCTCCAGGGGAAGAGTCAGAGAGACCATTTAATGCTTTGTTAAGTTCTTCCAAGGAGAATTGACAATCTAGACTGTTTGAAGAGGGGATGTAAGAATTATACTTATGAGGAGCCAATTTGTCGGCAAAGGAGGTAATCCAGCTAGACGGATCATTAAATGGGACATCATAAGAATTGAGGGAACAACGGAATCTTCTGATCTGCCTCCAAACAACAGACGAAGGGGTACCAGGGCACATGCTCTCACAGAACTTATGCCAACCAAGACGTTTCTTATTATTTAGAAGTCTGCGAGCAGCTGCAGAAGCTTGTTGGTAGACTAAAAAATTTTCCAAGGTCATGCAAAGACTGTATGACCTTTCTGCCGTTTTTCTTTTTCGAATCATCTCAGTACATTCGGAATCCCACCAAGGAGGAGAAATTTTCCTTTGTGTAGAAGATTTGAGTGGAATATGTAAACTGGCAGATGAGGTGAGGGAGTTGACAAAATCATTGTATGAAGATAGGCAGTTTTCAGCAGACTGCGGGGAGCGCAGCTATCTTAGAGTAAATCAAAAGTCTGACCAATTGACCTCATTCAGTTTAAATTTTAAAAGAGGGGAAGGGCGAGTAACGCTCCTTAAATTGGTTGGGAGATCAATTAAAATGGGGAAGTGGTCACTCCCACAAGTGCTCTTAAAAACACGCCAGGATAGAAAAGGGAAAAGATCAGGAGAACAAAGTGATAAATCCACTGCGTTAGCGGGATTCTGAGATGGAAGACTCCTTCTCGTAGGACAACCAATATTCAAGACACTTATGTTTATATCATCGAGTAAATCTAGTAGAAGGGACCCAAAAGAATCTGAGGAATGACAACCCCAAGAAACATGGTGGGCATTGAAATCACCCAACATGACAACAGGAATAGGAACCGAAAGGATAATAGAACGTATATCAGAAATGAGGTCGAAATGGGGGTGGGGAATATAAACAGAAATAAACGAGATATTAAAAGCTCTCATAGCAACAGCATTAATACCATCACAATGAGGAAGAGATAATGCGTGGAAGGTGAGGGATCGGCTGACCAAAAAGGCACAGCCAGCATAGCCATCATCCCTGTCATCTCGGAGACACCGGTACCCAGAAACCCTAAAGCGGGAACCCGGCAATAACCAAGTCTCCGAAATGGCTAGAATAGATGGAGCGAATTTATTGATAAGAAAGGTTAATTCTGATTTTTTACTGCGAATACTGTTACAGTTCCACTGAATTACCAGATTCGCCATTTTTGGTGACGAATGAGTGGAGCAAATTAATTTCTTGGGCAACGTGGGACGGTATGGGGATGTCATCATACTTGGATAGCATATTACAAATGACTGCCCATAAGCAGTCAAGAAGATTTTCATTTGGGGAGACTTCATTGTTGATAAGGGAAGGGGAGCTTACGGCACAACCATTGGGTAAAGAGGAGGGTAAATTGGAAGTAATGGCCTCATGGGCCGCCTTATCAAAGGATTTTCCTGATGTTGGTCTAGAGCGAGGAGGGAGAAATACAGTTTTCCTGTAAGATGTAGTCTGACGGGAAACTTGGGAAGGTAAAGTAATGGGCTGGGATAAAGAGGAGGGGGTTGTTTTTACAGAATCTGCAAAAGTTTTGCCACTGATAGGTCTAAACCGAGCCGATGCTTCGAGATAAGAAATGCTCTCTTGAGACATACAACTCTTTATATTTTTTTGTCGATTATGTTCAGGGCAAGCTTTGTTGGTCGCAAAGTGTGAGGCAGTACAAAATAAACATAATGACTCTGTTTCAGGGATATTACACTCATCACCAGAATGGGCTAGACTACAACGAAAACACCTAGGCTTCGATCGGCATTGTGACTTTACGTGACCAAACCTACAACAGTTAAGGCACTGAATTGTAGGGAGTTGGTACGTTTCAACGCGGAGGGAACTATGACAAGAGAATATTCTCTCAGGAAGGGTTTGAAAAGTTAAAACAACGGTTTGTGTTGGGATCCAATTAATTTGACCATTGGAGTTCGTCTTGCGGTTTAGGCGTCTGGCCTTGAGGACTATACCTGTACCTTCGGGAATTTCCAAAGTTTCGACAAATTCCTGCATCGACCAATCAGCTGGGACACCTCTCACAAGGCCCATACGGGAAACATTATAGTTAGGAATCGTAACAGAATAGTTGCTGGAAGGTACAATGGGATTAGACACAAAATTATTCGCATCTAAGCCCGACTTAAACTCAACAGATATTCTATTACGTCCCACTCTCTTAACACCATCTCGAACAATGTTGGGTATTTTATTTTTTACCAAGAAGTGACCAAATTTAATTGGGCGGATTGATGTACCAGCGGATGGGTCAGATTCAGGGCAAGAAACATGGACTAAAAAAGGGCCCTTGTCATTGACAAGGTATGACTTGGAAGAGCCAGTGAGAGATGGATGGGAGTAAAATCCTGGGTTGACGTCATCAACAGATGACCGGACATCGGTCATTGGTTTTTTGGAAGGTTCCACTAAAGATTCATTGATAGTATCAAGTCTGCGCTTGACACCAGGTTGGGGCAACAGTGGGGTGGATAAATCCATTGATTCCACCGGAGAAGAGACCCTATCCGGAGGATCAGGGGGGTCTGGAGGGCGTTTCTCCATTATAGACTACCAAAAATATAACAAGGTAAAGGGAGAAATATAACAAATAAATAAAAATAACTTACGTAATTAGTTGATGTTATTAATTAACCACCACCAATAGGATAAGTCAACTTATATTCATTAAACTACGAGAAAAAATAGAAAATACTAAATAATGATATCCGAAACACGTGTAAACACTTATACCCGCAACGACGGAATCCAATTAAACGGTTCATAAGTGGTACATTGTAATTTTTTTGTAAATTGTAAGACAATATTTATAGACAACTGCCCGCCAAAGACTCGGTGTGACAAACAAATGGGTTAGAGTCTGGCTAATGAAAGAAGATAATTGAATTATTTGAAAACATTCGGATGGCAACACAGAATGTCATTGAATTTCTTAGGTTAGTATGATTTATTGTCTTGATACTTCGTATAATAGCCTAAACTTTGTTTTATTTGATAGAATATTTCGTTTCTTTCGCAGGAAATCTTTGAAAAAGAAAAGAAAGAAAAAAATGACTACAGAGCAGTTAGAACAAGTGATTAAAGAGTCATTTGAAAAATGTAACAGCAGAAGAGTGGAAGAAAATGACATCATGTTGTACATGTGGAAAATAAATATAAAGAAAGGGACAGGACTACAGAGGAATATTTAGAAAGTTTCATTATCAATGTGAGAGACAGTGATAACAGCAATGACTCTGATGAATCTATGCATATTGATTTTTGGGATTCTGATTTTGATTATTCCGAATAAAGTTGTGTTTTATAATAAATATAGTTTTAGTTTTCCATGCAATGCTAGCCATTTTAAGAATCAATAGTAAAATACTTAAAACGTTTTGTATTTAATTTCATAGAAATACAGTTACTATCAATGTAAACAATAATAAAATAAAATCAAGTATCAAGTAAGTTTAATCCACAAAATATATCAAACTTTTAGGGATACCATTCTAAATTTTTTTTTTTAATTTTCCGCGCTGTTTCGGTATCTTCTTTCATTAGCCAGACTCTAGCTGCAATGATCATAGCCAAGCACTAAGCAGCTTACCAAGGCCGTAAAACTATCGTATATTGATTATTATGGATCAAAATGATCGTTTTGACCAGGATAGTTATAGTTTTATATACCCATAAATAAAAAAATCGTATGATAGTAAACCAGGTTTTATCACGTGACCATTTAAACAATATATTCGTTTGGCGTTAGTGGGTCACGCTGAGATTCGGCCTGTCGCAGTGATTTTGTGTCAACTCTGAAGCCCCTGCCCTTGTTGAGACGTCACAACTCACAACTCACAGTCTTACACGAGCTCCCATTTCACAGTTTAGCAGCTAAACCAACAGCCAACTCTACCAACTTTTAGGTAGATTTACCAACTTTTTAGGTAAATCTAGCAACTTGTAGGTAGATCTACCAACTTTTAGGATTTCTTGTTTTTTAGCATGAAAAATCGATGAATAAATAATAGATCTTTTTAATTTTAAAAACAAATTTAATTTTAACTATTACTTCCTAATTTTTTAATTAATTACAGAAAAACCTTAAATATTTTATTAACAATAGAAATTAAGGTTATAAAATAATCAACGTTTCAATTAACCTAATCGTTTGACCCAGCTCGTTTTGATAGATTTTAGGTGCTGAGTGTTGGTAAATTTGATATATTATGCTAAGTGTATGCCTTTTCAGTAGCATTACATTATTTAAAAAAAATCTTATGACGCTTTAGCATCCGATTGGCGGTTACAGTCTATCATTAATCATTTTGACGTGATGGGTCAGACATTCGTTGGTTTTATCACATTGTTGTTGTCATTTAAAACTCATTGGTGCATAACTGGGGTTCAAAGGCATGACCTCAGAGTTGAAAAATGCATGCTTAACCTCTATAACAGCTAGCACAGTAGTGTTCTCTTCTAGGCTCATATTATACTAAGGAAACCTGTTGTTTTTGTATGTGATAAATAATGGGTATATGCAAAAATATACTTAGTAGTTTAACAGATGAGCATATAAAAAATTAAAACAGACATTTGTTAAAATAAGTTATTTATTAAATATTGTATGTAAGTGTCACTAATTAAATTTAAAAAAAATTAGATATGGCATATAAAATGTTTAAAAACTAGGTACATACATAAAAGGCACTGCGTTAAGTTTTCCTCAGTCTTAAAAAAAGTAGCACAAAATTTACTAATAATATAATATTGAACAGTATTGAATATAATTTATTCTTCTAGGATTTCACTGGCTTTATGAATATTATCATGTCCAATTTAAGGAAAAATACCAAGCTATAAAAATATTTTTGTAAATTTATATAGGTACTAAAAACTAGAACTAATACTTATATATAATAGGAATAATTAATATCTATACTTGTTATTCAAATGTAAAAGAATATTACATATATAGTAATATCTTTAATAAATAAATGCATTCAACGAATGTAGGCATCTACTCTATGTTATTGTATATATATACTTAACCAAATATAGAAATTAAAAATGCAATAACTAGAAGTTCTATTTTAGTTACTAGAAGCAATTAAATAAATTCTTTCAATAGTTGCTAATAAATCATTGCATATATTTTATTCAGATGTGCAATATTAATAAGTAATTGATATTGATTTAGAGAACAACTTATCAAACAACCTTAATGTGGTTCAATGCTAAATGAATGTATATAAGGCCAGTTGATATAACTATCTGTGTTTATGTAAATAAATGCTCTGAATAACAATATTATAGAAGAGTAACTATTGTCCATCAATAAATTATCTCTTGCTTAAAATACTTTGCTACTTTGAAAAATTAAATTGCAAATGTGCTGTTCACATAAAATACTACCTTTTCTACAGTAAACCACAACAAATTGTTGGCCTGACCTAAACCAAGCTACACCAAAGAATTCGTGTGTTAACACATACAATATGTAACATTATCTAATACTTAGGGTATGTTTCACAATGTACGAATAAGTTATACATAAGTTCCAAATTAGCTATTTATTACTTATTGGTAGGATAAACACTATTGTTGTGTTTCACGACTGTCAGATAGCGCTATTCGTCACATAAAGTCCATCATAAATTATGAGTCCAATGAATGTTAAATAGCACAATTTATCTTCCAAATAATTTATGTGTTGCATAGCTATTTGGTACTTTATCCATACATTGTGAAACAGACCCTTAGTATTGTACCACTTAGACCTGAGATAGTAAGATGTGCTTTTATGTTTGCACTCAAAATTGTATATAAATCGACACACACTAATATTATTCTTATTAGAAGAATAAACATGTATATAAAACATACATTAACAAATTATGTAACATTTCTTAAGGCTTATTAAAACATTAGAATTATGGAAAAGTGTAAAAACTTAAAAAATTAGTTTATAATTATACTTATTTTGTTTAATATAGTTACTACTGTCAGCTTTACAGATGGGCATACACCAGACAGTAAATTATTTTATAGACAAACAAGATATACACAACCCACAATACTAAAAGATCTCAAGTAAAATCACAGGAAATTGTATAAATGACAGATTCTATCTTAAATATAGTATCTACAAATTATTGACTAATTTTATATAAATTAAAGCCATTCAATATGTATTTATGTATGAAGTTGAAAAACGGAAAAAGAACACATTAAAGCAGCATATAAAAATAAAATTTCTATACTTATTTTAATTAAAAAAAAATTATACATTACTGGACTGGACTACCTTTGCTTACTAAATAAAAAATAAATGTTGTATTATAACCTCCTCCTTTGACTTTTAAATTTGGTTTAAAAATAAAAGTTCAGATTATGTGCAATTTTTGATGGTTGTGTTCTTTATTACCCAAAACCCGACTGAATATGGGGGCATTGAAATATGTTTAGTGTGCATGTGCTCTTTTGGTTTAAATTCTGGCATTGATGACTCATAATACAGAGGCCAGCCATTTAAGAGAATTGTTTTACTTCTTCTATTGTTTGATGGAGCACTTACAATATATTCATCTATAACTAAATCATCTTTAGTAAAAGCAGTTCCATTGACTAGGAATCTAATTTTCTCCATTTGTAAATTAATACCATATAATGTTATGGCTGTTGTGTCATTTGTATAGTTTCTATTTGCACAGTGTACATACAGTCTTTGAAATTTAGAACTGTTGCTTGTTAAGTTTAACACCTTATTACCAACAAGTTTTTTATATAAAACACTCACCCACCAATCTGGCAAGGGTCTCAAGTTTCTATCAATAAGGCTATAATTACCACCTAACAAACTTTGTCTCACTACTGTTGTAATGTTGTTTTTAGCTGCAAGCCCAAGTTTATCTAACCACAATGGAGTACCAGCAAAGGAATTTGAAAGTCCTGGTGCTCCACCACCATATGAACTGCTAGTTTCTGTAAGCCACATTGGAATGTTATGATATGGTTGTGTATTGTTTCTCATAGTTTGTATCTGATTATCTAATAATTCCAAAGTATCAGGTGTCCAAAAGTCTTCTAGCTTAGCTGTTCTACTATTTAGGTAATACTGATGCCATGATCGAATATTTATATAATGCGAAGCATTTCCTAAAAAGTCCACCATGTATTTAAGACAGTTTGGTTGATGATCTTGGGGCCGTGTTGTATCTGGGCCAACAAGCAAAGAGTGTTTATATCCCGACTGGTTGAGAAGTTTTCGAAGCTTCTTATAGTCTTGGGCTAAAGCATGTGGAGTTATCGTTTTATTAAAAACATGACGAAATGAGTTTGGTTCATTGCCTAGCTGCCAGTCTATTTCATAGTTGTTTAATTTTGAAAATTTTATAATTTCTATGGCATTTTGTTGACTCCACTCATGTTCATCCCGAAGAAGAACATTTAAAGGAAACATCAATTTAAGATTACTACGTAAACAGAAATTGTTTATTTCAATCCACTTTGGTCCAGTCATTATAAAAAATGGTAAGAATTTGTGCCTGCACAATTTTTTAAGGCTTGTACAAAATGACTTAACAGCAGTCTGTGGGCAATGATCACAAGAAACTGAAGGTAAGTCATTAGGACTAAAGATTAAGCGGTCTGACATTGTACCACCGAGGCGAAGTCTTGCTGGTGAAAGAGCTGCAGCAAGATTTAGAAGTCTCTCATTTGAGAAATCAACTTTGTTGAAATCTTGAATTTCAGAGGCGTCTATTCCTATGCTCAGGTAACTTTCTGGCAAAATCACTGTAATATCTTGATGGTTAATGGTAATGTAAAATTTCTCTCCTATGTTATATTTCACGAATAACGCTAATAAGGCAAGATTACTGAGGAATGCTATAGAACATCCTATAACTAATTGCTTGTTTGATAACATTTTAAATTAATATTTCCTTAGTAGTAAAAACTTACGGGTAAATTGTTTGACTTAACCATTACAAAATACAATTAACAATATAAGTGAGCCGTGCCCGTGGCCTGTGAAGTGTGAGCGATTTTTATATAGTTTAGGGATGCAAACTCCTAAAGAATATTCCCCCTATAACCAACTTTAAATACCCCTAAATATCGATCCCTTAAGTTTATGTTGTACACTCGGTTCGAGAGGTAATTTCAAATGTGCAATAAAAAAACATTCTAGTAGTAGTTTAATAGCTATTATTTCGACCTTGAAGTATTATAGCCTTTTATATTTTAGTTATAGCCACATTTAGAGTTAAAATTTGGTGTATTTTAGTCTCACTCTGGTTACTGGTTCGAGGTTTAATATAAATTGTATAGAATTACGTGGTTTTTTTAATAAATTAAATAATGTACCCCTTGAAAATTCCCCACAACCTCTTGATTTCCCTTAAATTTGTGGGGAAAACCCCCACGTTGGCATCACTGATATAGTTTCTGAAACTAGACATGTGCCGAAAGTCGATATAGATATCGATATAGGTTTCGATATTCTCCACAAGTATCGATGATTTTTTTCCCCGTTTGTAATAAAAAAAGGAAAAATTATTAATAAATATCTTAAACAAAATATTTTTCATAAAACTAAGACATGATTTGGGGAATTGGGCAGTTGTGTGTCTTACTATTTTATTTAATTGAACCGTTTCAAGATATTTTTACGAGTTACCTACAAGTTACCTCCCAGACAAATATTGTATGATAAGCCCGGTCACTTGATCAATATGTATGTATGTATTTGTCGGCGGTAGTTGGTAGCCGCCTCGCCGCTGTATCGGCACGCTGTCCCATTCAGGCCGACCTACGCTCGCCAAAACAGCCCGAACTGAGCTGTAAAGGCCCTTAAGGCCAACAGCGAGATTCCTTACAAAAAATAAATTGTGCGTGTACTAAGTGTACTCACGTAAGAAGTGAAACTTCTTTATGATCTTATTTTTCGAAAAATGATCTACTATATGCAACTTTACAGAAATTCGTTAAATTAGATAAAGTTTAACAAAAGGCTTTTATTATCATAGACATGAATACAAATATTTCATTTTACATTATTACTACGAAGATTATTATAGAATTTCATTAATTGTAATAGAATTATTACTATCATTGAAAAACGTGACGATTTGCTACAAAATTTCTCCCATACGTCGATAAAGAAGTTTCATTCCAACGCCGATAAAGAAGTTTGACTTCAAAAAGCAACATGGCGCGTAACCGAAAAATGTGACGCGTAACGAAAAAATGTTACACTAAATTTTTTTCCAACCTCGATAAAGAAGTTTCACTTCAAAAAGTATCGGCACGCATTGTATCTTTGCGCTTTAAAATTTCGTATATGACTGGTCCCGATAGAGTCAAACCGAAATGACCGAATCACCTGAAGAACATTTCGTTATTATGCGTGGTGTCAGCTTTGCCCTTGCCGAAACATTATCGGTGAGACTATAGACCGACTGATGCTCCGGAACTGCGTTTATTTCTTTAGTAAGTTGTGTGTATATACTGTTTGACGAATGTATAAACTATTTTATTTTTATTGTATGGCCTATATGACGTATATACGTATAAACTAATAATTTAACCATAGAGTAAATTTTTAGATTAAAATCACTAGTAAGTAATCTGTGCTTTTGGCCTAAATATCCTAGTTTATTAAAATAATTGTGAATCACAAACATGCAATTATAGTATGTGTTTATATTAATTTTAAAATATTGTCTAACCGTTTTATATTGTTTTTGATTAGTTGGTAAGTAAACCATTATTTATGTATTACGAAAAGATTATCTATACCTATAATCGAGGTGTTAAATGTTATTAATACAAAATTCACACAAGGTAAAACTCTTTAGGAAATGTCCTCGCCACGCCCAAAATCTCCCCGTACTCCTGTTTTACCTAAGAAGGATGATAAAGACGAGTCATTTTGGGATAAAATTGGTACCATTGGGCGAAAGAAACGCATAAAGGAAGGTGTAGTATTTCAAACTAATTACCTAATTTCTTGTGTAGGTGGTAAACAGATGGCTTCTGATTTTTTGATAGATTTTATTAAGGGTTCCATTTACAATACCTTATGTGAAAGAAGTTATCAAGTGTTGGAATTTATCATTTATGTATGGAATTTAAAGATAACAAGTAACTTACTCATTTTAATGTAAATAATTGTAGTGCAAGAAGTGCAAGAGGAAGGGAAATATGCCATTGATTCCCCAGGAAGTCCTACAGCTCCAGAAATTCCACCAGAAGAATATAGCCTGTGTAAGTTTTATGAATGTATTGGCTGCTGGCTACACTCATCAGCTTGCATGCGCTAAATCTCTATAATTCCTTTTTAAAAAATGCTCTGAATTAAAGTTGTTATATCATGTAATGTTGTAAGACACTTTGCTGCTGCAAGAATTTTGTATTATTCTTTTTAAATATCTAAAGCTAAGATTTAGAGTCAGACTGTGCATATCAAATAAATACTAAGATTGCTATTGCATGGTCATTAGATGCAGCATTATTGTTATAATCTTGTGTTTTGATATATATAATAACTAGCTGCCCCTGCAAACTTCGTTTCTCCTTAATGTGATTTTACTTAGCCTACAGGTTTTTCTGTTGTTTTTCTCTATATAAACCTCAGAGTTCAACTTATAAGATTTTAACTTACACATAAAAAATAGGGGTTGATTGTAGATTGTAGATGAAAATTAAGGGTTGTCTGCATAGAATTTTGTATGCTGTTCATAAAAAAATTGTCTAAAAATTTTTGTATGCTAACTAAACAACTCGAAACCATCGCATGATCCAATGCTGACACCCAATGTTAATGTGTGTGTGGTTCTTAGCCAGTTTATCAAATCATGTTTTTATTGTTTCTTCTTCTTAAATGACAAATCAAATTCACAATGGCAAGAGTATCAAAGTTAATATTCATTAAATGTATTTTTTAAATGATGGCAATTTTTAATGTTTTTGTACTGACTTCCATTGATTAATAATACCTTATAGTTTTTTAAACAAAATTTAATTTCAGTGGACAATGAAGCCAGAGCCATAATTGAACCCCGTTCCTTAGAAGAGCCAAGAGTTCAGGAACTTATCCAAGTATTGATTGATTGGATCAATGATGAGTTAGCGGCCCAGAGAATTATTGTAAAAGATATCAGTGAAGATCTGTATGATGGTCAGGTTCTGCAGAAGCTACTAGAAAAATTGCAAGAAACAAAACTAGATGTACCTGAAGTGACGCAGAGTGAAGAAGGACAGAGACAAAAATTGGCAGTTGTATTGCGAGCTGTCAACAAGGTATTGTTAGAAGAAGCTAATAAATCTTTAATTTCTACATCAGTAATAACAATATGAGCCTTGTTAATGTTGTGGCTAGGCACCCTTATTCCTGAGATTGTTAATATCGAAGTTAACATATTTATTTAAGATCCTGATGCAAAATTGCCTGTGATGAACGTAGCTTCCATTCTTCATTCATTATCACTTGTATATAAACAATGCATAATTAGTTCTAAACCACATACACATCAATCATTAGGGTGTTAATAACTAAGTTGTAATTTTAAGTTTTGGGAGTTCAATATGATGACACTATCTGGTGAATATATTCTTGAAGCCTTAATGTACAAAAAATATAAGCGATTTTAAAACAAGTGGTGCCTTTTACCAGTTTAATACTAGAAACAGAACTAATTTAAGCATACAACCAACCAGGCTCCAGAAGATAAACCACTCTTTATATGGAAATTGTATTCGTTTTTACTACAAACTCCCAAGCTAAAATAGAGAATTATCACTAAATTAATTCAAAGCTCTCGTTAAACGTAAATTAATCAATAAAGCTTATTATAAATTTGAAGAATATTTAAATGATCTTAATGATGATTTGCGCCAGTTTAAACAATTTTTAAGACTCAAAACTTTGCGATTAAAAAGAGTGGCGGAGATTATCTTGCCAGTTCTTCTTGCCCGTTCTACGCCCTTGACTTGCGAACTGGTAGTAAATGTAAATTTACAATTAATTTAACTTCTTTTCTGACGTTCATAAGACGTGTACTTGTTTACCTATATAAATAAAGTTATTCTGACTATTTATGTCCGTATTCCAGGTACTTTTTGGTACAGGACAACCTGTTACCAAGTGGAGTGTGGAATCTGTTCATTCTAAGAATTTGGTTTCGATTCTGCACTTGTTAGTGGCTCTTGCTCGTCACTACCGTGCTCCTATCAGGTTGCCAGAGAATGTCAGTGTCGGCGTTGTTGTTGTGAAGAAGGACGCACAAAACCAGCTCTCGCATAGGTTTGTAAAATTTTAAAACCCGTATTTATTTTATTAAATAGTGTGAATTTCGATTTGGAAGTCTTTAAAATTAAGTTCTTAGCTTTATCAGCAGTTTTCAAAAAATACAATATCACAAAATGCGTTTGTGCCTGTGCTATGCAAATTATGTTTAATATTATCTTAAAAATTACCCATTTTTTCAAAATCATGTAAAAAGCTATACAATATAATTTATACATACAATAAAATTTTTAAATCAACTTACATAAAATTAATACAGGACATACACAGAAGACATCACAACAACATATGATGAGTTGGGCATGCGATGCGAAAGGGATGCATTTGATGCCCTGTTTGACCATGCACCTGATAAACTGCAAGTTGTTAAAAAGGTTTGTAAATGTCATGGTACCACTATAAATAATTTTACAGGTAAATTGTTTCACAGACACTGAACTTTATTTAACAAATTTATCATTATTATATTTTTTCTTAATTAAACCTGTCAATACGCGTCTTAATCTCGTAAAGGTGTAATTTGTTTTTTTTCCTCTACTATTGTTGTAACAATCATTGCGTAAAGCAACCAGAAAAGGAAGCAATGTTTTTAATAACATGACATGCCTAGCTTGTTTATGAAATGTAAAAAAACAAATAGTTAAAAGGCTCTAAAAGCGTGTCACAATTCCATACAAATTCCATTTATGCTTATCTTATATTAATTATGTTTTTTAAGTAAGAACCCACGGGCCTGGGACAAAATCACTGTGACTGTCGTTACTATTGACGCCTTCGAATTTGAATGGGAATAATGCTCACAAATCATGATGGTACTATTTCCATACTTTCAAATTATGTTTAGTAGTGACGCGTGTCCCAAAGTGGATTACCCTAGGACCAGGACTTACAGAGTTCATTATTTCAGTCGCTGATAACATTCGTGAACAAACATCTAAGTAAAGTAAATTTGGAGGTATCCGACTTAGACAGTCCGTTCCATGATGGCGTATGTCTTGTTCTTTTAATGGGACTTCTGGAAGGCTTCTTCGTACCACTCTATGATTTCTATTTAACGCCGAAAGACTTCGATCAGAAAGTACACAATGTGGCGTTCGCGTTTGAGCTGATGCAGGATGTTGGTTTGGCAAAGCCTAAAGCGAGACCTGAAGGTATGTCGGATTTTCAGCCTTTTAAAAAAACTAAGCTTTTATACCTGTTTATTGTTTGTTGTATTAAAAATATCATAAGGACTCCTGTTACAAACAGTTTCTGTGTTCTTTAGATTGTAACAATGTTTTTACTTTCAAGTTAGTTAAGGTGCATTCGCAAGAATATCTCAATTTACGGAAATGAAAGATCACGCGATAAAAAAGTGTTCCCAAAGAAGTGTTTTACTTATAATCATAGGAAAAAAGGTGATTTGTGCCTGCCTAAACAATTAGCGATTCTCTGAAAATCAAACTCGGCAGAGGACGAACATAGTAAACTACCAAATTAAAATATTTATTTGTTTGTTTCAGATATTGTTAATTTAGATCTGAAATCGACTCTTCGCGTTCTGTACAACCTCTTCACTAAATATAAGAATATGGCGTAAACGGTCGAAATCCCTAATACTCTAACAATTTACTAAAATACTAAATGAGCTGGAATACATAAAAAATATTAATCTTAATTACATTAATAAACCACCAAAATTGTAATAATTGCTAATTTCAAATTACAGACGAAACTGGTCAGGTTGTATTGAGGTGATTCGTGATGGCCTGTATTTGTCTATTGTCTAAACGGTACTTTGCTTTTGTCATTATATATAATTGAAAACAGGACACGTACAAAACGAGGTTTTGCTAGTCTCACATTTGGCCTGCGTTTAATTAAGCTACGGTTTCCTAGATAAGCGGTGCCGTCATCTAACGGCTGTAATGTAACGTTGGGTGACGTCACTCATACGTTGTCCATAAATAACATCGGAGTAGGTTTTAGTGTCACCGTAACGTCAAATAGCGGTGCTGTTATTTGTATGACGGCCGTCATAGCGGTGATAAACAGTAGTTTTTCGCGTGTAGCCGTGCGCATATGTAACTAATACAATGACTTGGACGAGCGAAAATGATGAACAATTAATTGATTTTGTTAAAAATCATGAAGCTTTGTACAATATCAAATCCAAAGAGTACAGACAAGCTCAGGTGAAGCACAATTTATGGAACTAAATTGGAATAACACTTAAAAAATACTGTCGCACTTACTAGGAAACCACAGCTTGGCCACCGTAAAGACGACCCTTTTTAACAACCGTAAAATGACGGCCGTTAGTTAACGGCACCGCTTTTCTAGGAAACCGTAGCTTTAGTCATTTGTTCATCATCAAAGCAGCATGAATCAATTATTATCTGTTGATCGGCGCATAAGACATTGCACTGATCTTGGAAATAAAAATAAACTTTACTAACGTTTATTGAAATATTCATTTACAATGTTATTACTAATAAGTTAAGACTTAAGTTATCTGTGTTGTGTTCTAATACATTTTGTTGAGTCACTAATTTTTCGTTTAGTGAACGGTTAACGCCTTTGTTCATAATGGACAGCATAATAATTATCACAAATTTTATGTAGCTTATAAAATAAAAAAATTAACATCCATTGAGTTTATTATTTGTGTTTAACATTACTGCGTCTATTTAATTGGTATTCTTTTTAAAATTACTCTTAAAAACTTATTTATGACTGCATAATATACTCCATAAATTATTCTAGAAGCTCTTACGACCAGGTGAGATCTCTCTCTCACTTTGCTTTTCAGTTATATCTATTCTCCGTTTACGGTGGTTTGATTGCTTGCTTGACAGAGTTCTGATGGGAATCATCCGGTCTCTAAGAGAGCGGTCTCAATGACCGATTGAGAGAGAGTGAGAAGGGCGAATTACCTTATAGAAATTCTATTTTTAAAATTAAAATTTCGTAAAGAGAATTTATGAAATATTAGTATTTTATATTACATACAAAATAATTTATTGAAATCTCAAAAGAAAAATTGTAAATTAAAATGCTTTTAGCATCGAAAAAAAATATTATTTGTATTAATTTTCGACACTTAATATTTTAATGACAATAATATGCATTAAATTCCTAACATATCTTCCTATTTCCCTCCCTCTATGTCTCGGAAATCAAACATTTTAGATTTGTATAATATGAACAAGACTTAAAAATTTGTTTTCCAAAGAAGTTTCACTTCTGACATGTGTACTTTGTACGCACGCACTTAAAAAAAAATTGTATATGTCATGACTTTATTAGCGCGATTCAGGGTATGCAGTGATTGTAGCCGTAGATGATAGGTGTCACTTTTGGTGCGTTCCACTAAGCGCTCACGACGATCAAAATGCTCCTTTAGCCATTCCACATACCGACCGCGGTCGTTGTGGTCACGGCGAAAACGTCACTCATGACGTCATGACAAATGCTCAAGCAACGCTCACAACGACCCATCTAAAGAGGTGGGTCGTTGTGAACGTTGAGAATAATTTGGCGCAATTTTTGAAATATGACAAATAATAATATTATTATATTTAAAGCTTAAAGATGGCGACAAGAAAAATCACATTATTTGATTCAGAAAGAGAAATTGTAAAGCCATTTCGATTATATTTAAACTTAAGTTGTTTGATAACTTCACCAAAATTATTTATAAAATATTCAATTATTCTTCACTTTTAACATAAATAAATTTAAGTCACAAATATCAAAACTTATTGTTTATGATTACCTAACCTCCTTAAAATTCTACTATTTTCAAACTTGACATTTGTAATATTTACATGAACGCCCGAAACGCTCCATAATCCATTCCACTTGAGTTAACGACAGTAACATTCACAATCATGAATCAAGTGGAATGGGGAAATCAGCGGTCGTGAGCGTGATCGTCGTGAGCGCTTAGTGGAACGCACCATATATAACAATAAGACACGAAACAGTGAAGGGACACCTAGACAAGACGTTATATTCTGAACCACGTTAAAGATGGAACATGGGAGATGGAACTCAACGCCTCGTATTGAAGAATTATTTTTATTTATTCATGTGTATCGAAGCATACAACGTCTCGAAATGTGTCCACATTTTGGTGTCTATTTCTTAGTTATTTTTTATTTATACGCTGGTAATATTGAGTTAATGAAACGGGATTATAATTATATATTACTTTATTTTCATTAACTATAATTATTGAGGAAAACACAACGTTAAAACACACTATAAATAACTTTAGGCAAATAAAGATTTTTCTGAATTCTAACTCGAATATAATCAAATGTACTTAATATAACATAATATATAGTGCAACGAACTAAAACAATTGTACATATAGGTTTATAATTTAATATTTATATAACCTGAATGAATTATGAGTAATTTTAAAATCGAACAAAATTTTCCTATTATGTGTGATACTTGCGTAATTAAAATATCTATTTTGAGAATATTTACCACGAGTTTCGACAATGTTAAACGTTATATATATTTTTTTTTAATCTCAAATTTTTGAACTTATTTTAAACAAAGATTATTGATATACTTTGAATACTTTGTCAAACTGATGGCAGGGATCGTATGCGTGATAAGTTTTTAAATATGCATTCCTACTCATTATCATTTCCAGTTAAGTAACTAAGATGTCTGAATTACATATTATATTTGAGCCATTCAAAGTCTGTCATAAATTGTAAGAATTACATAGAAGGTAATCTAATTACATCTTATATCCTAGTTATAAAATTAGGAGTATTTGTAAATTTACAGCTCGTCGTGTTTGGGCCCTGAGAATTCTTCATGGCTGATAAAACCATTCTTGTCTTTGTCCTCGTGTTGGAAGATTTCCTCTACAAGCTTGTCATGGCTCTCCAACATCTGCTTAACGTCCTCGCTGATTTCACCACCGTCTGGAGGCACCATTTGCTTCTTTAGGTAATCACTGACCTAAAATCAAACGGTAAAAAATATTATTCAAAATATATTTAATTAAATATAGATTATTTAACATTGTACTGTTATATTTATTTATTCTTGTATGTCCTGAATTTGATGGGGAGACGACGATTATAGAAGGCCTGCTTCCTATACTCTATATTTTGACTTTTAATTCATATTATGAGACATTGACTAATAATTTTTTGTTCGTAAAAAGTTATGTTAATTCGCCACAAACATATCTAGTGTAGTGGATTAATTTGTGATTCACAAGAAACACGATGCTGTAGAGGGTAGACTATACTGTGTTTGCTTCCCTGAGGGCAATTTCAGAGCGCATTGATGGAACAGTGGGTACAATTGATTGCATACAGCAGTAACAGAATCTTAATTTATTCGAAAATACACGTCTTAAACTTTAATATAAGAACCAACTACATTCTAAGAAATAATACGTATAATATTGTACGTGCATATTTAAAATAAGTATGTACTGTAACCATACATCCAAATATAATAATAAGTTTGAATTTAATCAGGGAACGTTATTAATATGTACCTTTGGTACCATGTAGGTGTCGGTACATGGTAGTAGGTACATTTTTCAAATAAATGAGTTTATGCTCCAGATTAAAAAAACATTACTTTTCTAGTGTTAAATTTAAAACAGCAAGCAACATCGATACTATTGTTGTAAAAATGAACCTAAAAGAAACTAAATTCAACTGATAAATGCATGCAAAATGCATCCCAAGCCAAAGCTCAAAAGGCTACAAGCGTCAGCCGAGTCCCATCACCTCTAATATGATCGTGGACTGACCTCCTCTCTAGATAATTCCCTGTCACCATCAGTGTCCATCGCCTGGAACGCTAAGTCTATACTCACTTCTTCACGCGATAGCATGTTGTCAGCGTCAGCGTCGATTTCTTTGAAGACATTGGTGGTTGGTGGTGAGTCTCCAATGTTGATGAGCTCGACTTCGAAGTGGAGGGTGGCGTGAGGTGGGATAACATTACCGGCCCCACGTTCGCCATATCCGAGAGAGGAGGGTATGGTCAATTTACGCTTTTCACCTGAAAATTTATTTAATTTATTTTCTACAGCAATATTATATATAATACATAATTCTAATGCAATAAAAACTTACTAATACAAAAATTAAACTAATAGCATAATACCACATGTAAAAAAACAAGAAATATAAAACCTCAACTTTTTTGTACAATTAATGAATAATACGATCCAAGCAAATTCAGACAGTATTCAATTAAATAGATGAGTCTTAGATGAAATATTATTGAGGCACGCAATATGCGTGTAAATGATGAAAAAAATGGGTATAATAAACTTGTGTAATTTATTTTGAATTCCCTCCACCATAAAACAGGAAAAGAAATACTCTGTAGTTTTCAACTCTACTCCAAAATCTATTTATTTCTTTATAATTTCTTATAACTTTTATGTGTTAGTCATATAACAACAGTAGATGTAATAGAAAAAACAGAATTAGATAGATTATAAAAGAGAGCATAGATGATGAAATGGAGTGATGAGTGTCTCATATGGAATTAAATATTATGCAATACACTCTTACTAGAAGATCTCAGAAAACGAATTTGATATAACAGACAATTCTTACGCGAAATGAGTTAAAATACCATAATAATTATATAGTGCTTAGTCACTTAGTGTTAATGTCAAATAAACATTTATACTATGTAGAAAATTATAACTTACCAACACACATGTCGACTAAACCCTCATCCCATCCTTTGATGACTTGACCCACTCCGAGTTGGAAAGTGAAAGGCTGATCGCGATCGAAACTGAAAAAAAGACGTGAATGGTTAAAAAATACTTACATTACACGCATAAACGAGTACAGCAAGTACAGTTTGAAGTCAGTTGTCTAATATCTCGACAAATATTAAAAATATATTTATAGTTATTCTATAAAATAGAATTAACTTTATTTTAAAATACAATAGAGGTGGATTATGATTTACCGTTGTTCTTTTTGACGACGGGTAATGGAGACGTTCTATCTCATTATCTCTTTGTTATAATATCTCGAAATAGAACATATCTGAACAAAGAACATCAATACATTAAGCTTGCCATTATAGCTTTAATTACCGGTAGATAAGAGTATTAGTTTCAGGTAGAAATTCACTTCAGCAATAAAGTATATTAAAAATTAAATACACAGTCTACTCTACTCACAACCATTATACAATTATAAATTCTGTTATTGTTAATTACTAGATAGCTTTGAATTCCCATTTTGTAATTGATATAATTATTCGGTTAGGTTTAATTATAGGGTTCAAAAGGTCTCTACTTGGAATGGCCTCGAGGGTAGAAAGAGTACGTCTACCTGACTAAGTAGAGAAGGACCACCAGAAAATGAGAGACAAGTGGATGTGTTTGGAGGAGGTCTTCGCTCCTTCGGAGGTCGTGTACTAACATTAAACATAATAAAAATAATATAAACTTTATGTAACATAGATTGTAGTACGTCTGCTTGGCCTCCTTTGCGAAAATGGGATAAGATTAATTCATTACAGTCAAATAGGAGTCAGTATATAAGTCATGAATAGTAGTTTCAATTAGCAGCCTAAAACATTAGTATTATAGGCATAATATTGCAAAGGTAACAACTTATTGTAGCAAATTTATTAACTTCTACAGACAGAAAACAAGTCACTCATAAAAAAAGTGAATGTGACATTTGCCATTCTCTTTATATTTCCTTGTACATTACACAGGCTATTTTAATTGTCGCAATTTCCACTGATATGTATCATATATATATATTGCAGATATTCTATAAAAAAGAGATTTTTTGTATCCATTAAAAACGAGCAATTATATAAGCATCGAAAGTAGGTACTCTGTTATTGTTATTTCTTTAATAAATAATGCAGATTGTGGCAATACAGCGAATACGATGCATAATGCCCGATATGTTAGGGACTTATTTAAAATACCTTTCTTAGTTTCCACGGTAAAGTTTGTTAAATAGCTTAGTAGTTAAAAACTCTTAGAAAAGGACTTTGTATGCCGATGTGAACCAAAGAGGTTTAGGATTTATATGTTATCACACTTATAAAAACAACACTGTCTTATTGAGTTATATATATTTTATTAAAATTAAAATCTAACTCATTATTTTTAAGAACTGTTGCATAACGTTGCATCATTCCTAATGAACGATTAAAAAGATGAACGCATTTTTTATTTAAGATAACGCTTATTCATAAAAAAATATTAGTGAGAATTACTTGTACCTACATAAGTGTGTTTAGAACATTACACACTTTGTTAGGGTCATTGTTGTTGGTGCAAGCGTGTAATATTTTCACATCGAGAGCAGTATATCCATATTCCATACAGTTTGGCATTGTGACCGGACCATCAGATAAATTGGTTCCCAGAGTAACACTATTACACAGGCCTTTGTTCGGAAATAGAGTGCGGGGCCAATATTGCTCTGCATATACCAGATTTTTGAATGTGTTGCAAAAGTTATTTACCTTCATTATTCTACATGAAAGTGAAATTCTAATACGACAATCATTTTATTATTTTGACGTACCGCTTAGCTTGATTACCTATGCCAATGATTTTTGCCAATAATTAGCGACATGTGTCTTGTCGTTAAATACAATTTAGGAATTAAATTAACTTTTCAATCCGCTATTTATATATATGAGCGGTTGGCGTAATAGTTTCAGCGTGCAACGACCAACAACTCTACGACCTCAAGGATAACCTTGAGGTCGTAGATTCGAGCCCGCCGGGTGTGACACAGACAGAAAGTCCGTCATTGTTCGCATTAAACTCTCGCTCGTACGGTGAGTGAAAGCTCTAGATCCAAAAAGTCGACGACGTGTGTCAGGCACAAAAGTATTGGAATTAGAAAAAACTAATGATCAAGAAATAGAGAGATAAATCTGAGACCAAGGTTTTTAAATACACTACAGCAGCTAAAGTTTACCAATTATTGACTTCAGTTTGAGTCTATTATTATCTTAATAAACTAAATAATACATTCTCTAGCTTGATTAAAGTTGTGAAAAATAACTTCTGCAACCCTTTGGTTCTGTCATCCATCTGAAGACAATGCTTTTATGAAAGAGTTTCGATTCCAACGGCCGTAAAACAATTTATTGTCTTGCATTTTATCCCAGAGCTTTGATAATATTTAGCTGTTGATGACATTTAGAGAATCGCTTCTCGAATAATTTCAATTCAATATTGTTGTCTGAATATTGTATAGATCTATTTAATTAATTGTTAGCTAACCCAGTACATAGTAAAAAGCTTGTTCAAGTCTATTCCAATATTGTACAAATACAATCAACAATTTAATCTAGGTGTATATAAAATAAATTAATTGTCAATGCTACGTCACCTAATGTCTTAAATTTAATATGTCATATGATATTCGTTAATTACTTCTGATGCCTATAATATTAATTCCCAGAAAATTTCAACTTAAAGATATTGGATTCTACATAGATACACTTTGACACATTTTTTATATTAAATCGAGATGACAATTCACGCCGCAGTTTACAATTAAACCTCATATTTAGATAGCAATCGGGGACAATGACCATTCAGGCATTACACTACGGTTAATTAAAGCCTCCGAACCCCCGTTGTATACAAATTGCAACACCAAATTAAACGCTACCTGTATAATTACTCAACTCCGATCGACTCTTCTTAATAATGGAATTAATATGCAATATCATTATTTTTAGATAATATTTAAAATATTACATGTGTTTTGCTTTGTTCCCTTAAATAACCTTTGCTCGTACGGTGACGGAAACATTGCAGGACACAGACCGCCCCACGCTACAAATATAAAGAGGACTTAGATTGGATTTCATTTTGTATGAAATAACACCAAATCTGTAATTAAAACTACTTTTGCAAGTAAGTTTTTTTTACATAAAAATTAAATATCGATGTTTTTAAATTCATGAGGTATCAAACCCTGTCTCTCCGTGATATTTTACCAAATAAACATTAAACAAAAATGTTGAATAATAATCGCATAACGGCAAGAAAGTTTTATTTCATGAATGATATTATCTTAAATATATCTGCCCCATACTCCCTAAGGGCAGATAGTTCTGAGTCTATTTCATTGATCTGCGTAGGCGATCTGTACTTACGCAATATATCTACTCAAACTATTTATTAAATTTTATTAATAACTATCACAACATTATTAGTGTTGTTTAGTATTTCTTCCCGATTAGCAATCTAAATGCTGAGTTATCTATCGCGAAACTTAAATACGCGATAAAAGCCTGTTGAATAATTTTTATGTTTCGTCACATGAGAATTTGTATTCACTTTCTCTCATCGTCGTATTCATCGCTGGCCACTTCCTTGTCTACCAAGTTATCCTTGTTACATAATTTTAAGATTATGTAAGAAACGCCTAAGTCAATAGTAAAATCAATTTATAAGCCAAGTCTATATTCCAAAATTTAATTAATGTTTAATAATCGAAGATATTTTGAGTTAATGCGCTATCGATTTTTTTAATACACACGCCTCCCTACTTAACAATTTATGCATTTTTATTAATAAACCTCTAGAACAAAACAATTTTCAAGCAAGCGGTTACGGAAAGAACTAGTTAATATTTACATTCCATTAGAACGTAGTTATTATCGCGAAACAATTTTTTAATGAAACTGCTATAACCAGCTGGATTCAATCATGTGCAACTGACATCTTTGTTTTCTCCTTAAAAATTTTAAATATATTACCGGCTCTGTAACTTCCTTCCATATTAAGTTTTTGTACTATCCGATCCAAAGTTTGCGTCATCCTCGCTAGGTATTTTGAAATAATTGAATCGATGCTTACAAAAGCTTAAATTAGAAATTGTAGCTACAGAGTGCCGAGTTTAGCGGTGGTTGATGTGACGTGACGCATTATTGCCATATACAGTAGACCACATATATTGACCTCTTCGAAAGTGTAAACGTCATAGTGCCAGACGTAATAGAAACTAAGTGAAAGCCAACAATTGTTTAACTCTCTCCTCACACTGAACATCGTAAAGATTACAACACAAACAATACGTGCGCAAGAAAACATTTAAGATTTATATTTAATTTAGAGTTGAATGAATGGAATGCCTTCCGTTTATTATATATACTATATTTAATACCTCAATTTATCAGGTATAAAATTAAATTTTACCACTTAAATAATGTTATTAAATTAATGATAAATATCAATTTGAACGCAAAACCACTTGCGCTTATAACGTTATGATTAGTTATGAATTTTAACCAAGATAATAAATGCTCATCTTAAAAGAACGGTTGGGTGTATTTTCTATACGATAAAGTTTTTTTAAAATAGAACAGCTTTGAGTTAGTGGTTCGGCTAACTTACAATCCTGAGAATGACAAGCCTGGCAAAACGGTACGGAAATACGACAAAATAATCACATATATCATCTGAGACATATAAAGTGCTGTAATAACACTGAAATATGGAGAAATATACAATTATCAGTTAAATATACAACGTAGCATACATTATTATGCATGCTCTTGTAGTAGAAATCGTGTTGTATGATACAATAATATTTCATGGAAGAAAAAGTATAAGGTAAAATGGTCGCATAGGTATCATGGCATCACAACCTAAGGCCCCGAAGTCAACGGGTTAAGTTTTATTCCGCTTTCAATCCTTGAAGAACGTCCAGGCACGACATTTTTTAAGAAAAAAACTTTTACCAAATATGTTAAACACATACAACACATGTTTTTAAAAAATTTGACTAAAGAAAGGACAATTGTGGATGCTTGAAAAAGGGGGCTATGAAAATATTCCTTATCGTTGCCAGTGTATTTGAGCTATTTTTGTATCTTTTACAAAGCACGGGCTCTCACACCCTATTTAGCTTTTCTTACATATTACCGAAGCGGAATATGGAAAAACCCTTTGGATTTGTCCTCAGCGATCCATGTTTCCTAGAATTTATTTATAATAAGCCTGACAATTAGACAGATTGGCTTTATACATTAGTGCATAGCTCAGGTTCATACAGGATTTGCCTCGGTACGCCTAATCATTAACAAAGCCAATTTATATAGAAGATAGACCTATATCGATTTCTAAATAGTACGGTCTGCTAAATTGGTGACTATTATAGTATCGCTTCGTAATTGCCTTTCCTCTGAGTAATTAACCACCATTTTAAACCAACAATTTTCAATATTGGTTCCGCTTAAAAACCAGACAGAAAGTGGTAAATCTGCATTCTGTTAAACAGGTTGGACTATCCTCGTCTAAGTGCGAATATTTGAATGATTTTCCTTTTGAATTATTTAATTTGTGTGAACTAATTCTAATTAAGAAAAGCTGACTGACTAACGTGAATATATAGAACATTTTCTAGTATTATATATTGCTTTATTATGAGGTAATAGTGACCATTTATGGTAATTGTGGTAAATTTGTGGGTATAACTGCGATTTCCATTAAGTCTACGATGTCAAAGTTATTTAATTGACGAATGAAGTCAACTTCAATCATCAATTAAATAAATTTCGCGAATTCAAATTAGCAAAATATGGGAATAATGAATAAAATAAAAAGTCCTAAAATAGAAAAGCTATTTAACTTAATAAATAATTCAAACGTGGAACTAATACTGACCAACAATTGTCTAATTGTCTGTTTTGAATTTAACTAACTCAGACATACGTTTTATTTTACCCGAAACAATAGAATAAATTCTATAATAATTTCTTATTTCTTGTACTATAAATGGATTACAATTATATCTGTTTTGTAATGGGTGCATACACGAGCTTTATCACCAGTTTCTTATGGAGCTTAATAAGCTTAAAATGAACACAAAGTATTACTCCCGTATGTAATAACTCATAACTTCGAGTCTCGACTCTGAATTCTGCCCTACATCTTTAAATATAGGGCGTCATTACCTACTTTAAAAATAATAATCAATAATAAGTAGCAAGAGTCATAAATAACTATTTTTGTGTAATATTAGCGTCACGTTTCATACGATAGCCGCTGTACGCGGTTGCTGCCTTTGAATTTTTCACACTCCCAGCCCGCGCCCCCACATTATTTAATAATATATAAGGCAGGCTTCGTCACATTTCGAAGTGATACGGCGCACATATTGTTCAATGAAATTACATTACAATTTAATCACTTTCATTGTATAAAAGTAATTTTGTCAATATTGAGTAGTTTCAAGAGTGCCTACAATGCCCTATAATTATTATAATTTTATCTTAGCTAAGGGAAAATTAAAGCTAGTAGCGACAGATACAACAAAGTGACTGAGCTGGGAAGAAAGTTTCATAAGACATTTTTCATTTTTACTAAACTAAGATAGTATTTTTTTTCTGTAAATTATAAAGTTCAGAGTATATATTATACATCGTTTCTCAGACTTGAATTAAAGCGATCAAATTCCGGACAAAAGGCTGTGTTCGTGATAACGTATCTGAATTTTTAA